GGGCAGAAACTGAACCACAGGAAGTTCCACCTGAACCTGAGAAAAAACTTCTTCACTGTGAGGGTGACTGAGCACTGGAACAGGTTGCCCAGAGAGGTAGTGGAGTCTCCTTCCCTGGAGATATTCAAAACCCGTCTGGACGTGATTCTGGGCAATATGCTCTAGGTGACCCTGCTGGAGCAGGGGGGTTGGACTAGATGATCTCCAGAGGTCTCTTCCATCCTTGGCCATTCTGTGATTCTGTGACTGGCTCTTTTCATCTGCCCTCCTCTCCATCCCCCTCTTTGTTCCTCAGAAAGTTTGCTATAGTCCCATAAGCCCCTTTCTTATTATCTGAAAATCCTCATGGTGGTCTTGTTTCCTCTTTCTTATCAGTTACAAAGTCCAGGTTGGCCATATTTGCAGTGTCTTAATGGCCTGTCAATTAAGGACTGGAGGATTTGCTCTTTGTCATTGTCTTTGTTATTGCTTGTCTACCAGGTTTTGTGTCTCTGTCTGTCTTGTTTATTGTTTCTCCCTTTACTATTGTCCCCTTTGTACTGAAAAGGTCCTTGAACTGCTAACCTTAATAACATGGACTTTCTCACATTCCACACGTCTTTACATTCTCCCACTTAAAGGTAACATTAGAAGGAGCTGCACCACTTCTTCTCTCTCCATAGAGCCTAAATAGTCCTCCTATGTCACCCCCGCCATGGGCTGCAAATGCTGGGGAAAGAGCCCGTCTCCGCTGGGTGTCTTCTGTGCGGAGGGCAAGGGGCTGCAATCTCACCTCTCATTGCTGCCAGACAACTATTACCCCTTTGAGGCAATACAACATTTGCATAGTGAGGTGCTTAAGATCAGCGATGCCTCTGTAACAGTATCAGACGTATAGACAAGTCCAGTTATTTGGCTTTGATAGCAGCATCTCACCCAGAAGAAGATCACAGGACATCAGTAGCAGGCTGGTCTTATTCCATAGGACTGAGTGATCCGCATCAGTGATCTATCAGGGATAGCTCGGTGTTGACTGCCGACTACATTAAGTTTATTTCTTAGTTACTTAGTTACTTGGAATTGACCTTATTTCAGTACTGTTTGTAATGTTAGTC